TTGGCGGCTCTGCATATGCCAATCTAGAGTCTCAAGAAAAACCTGGAAAACTGGATCTGCTCGGTGACCCACTCTGTTCGCGGCTCTATCCTGAGTTGCGACATCTGCTGGATTCTCTGGTGGTGGTGGATTACCCATTGGTTGCGTTCCCAACCTGGTGATTAGGGTATCTAGTCGTTGATTCGTCTCAACCAGCTGACCTTTGGTAGCGTCCTGATGGGCCTGAAGCAAAGCTTTCATCTACACCATCTGCGCGGCAAGCAACTTCATGGCTTCTGCATGGTCTTGACTCTGCTCTCCCATGGCTTGTTCTTCGATTGGGGTTTCTTTTTCAGAGAGCGATTCTTCATCTTCTATGCGTTGTGCAATCGGATATTTGGACCTCGTTCGACAAGCAACCAGTCCTCTTTCTTTCGATCCCGCCACTTTGTTGAACGAGGCTCTGATACCACTTTATACGAGCACGGATCCTGTACCCGTCGTTATCAAAGTGCAATCTCAACAAAAGATGTGAGAAGGCTCAATCAACATAAAATGTAGAATCTCGACCAAAATCAAGGGGAAAACTTGATTGATACAGAGAAAAGTTCAAGACTCAAGATCATAACCAAGATAAAAATCAATATTCTGCTAAAAGCTAACCCTAAAACCCGAGTTCCAACCTTTATATAGGTCTGGGCAATTAAAAATAACAAAAACAGCTTAAAACACAAAATTTCGTTGGTCAGACCCAAAACCCGGGCAAAATACCCGGTCGGGTATTTTGGGTCGCAGGCAAGGGAAATTCCCTGGACGGAATACCCGCCCTTCCCCCTTATTTCCCCGGTCATGGAATTCTTCCACCATAAAAACCCGGTCGCTGCTCCTCCTTGTCTCTGTCTTGGTCTCGTTGGAGCCGCCATTAGGCTCGCATCATCATGTACCTATAGAACTACCCCACTACCCCATGAAGGGGGGGGGGGGGGGACACCATAAAGGTAGAAGAAAACCATCATCAAGGATCTCAAAGTGGCTAGAATATCAAGCCTCCTTCTTCTCTTCTTTTTTCCCCTCTTCTTCACTTCACATCCCACTTCTCGCTATCTTTCTCTGTCTAGGGTTTCCAAATTTCCAAGCTTCCCTTTAGCAATTGAGGTGTCTCTTATTTATAGATTTCCATAAACAAGGAAGAGATCATGGTAAACTTGATCTTGGGAAGTAGATCATGATACGATGTCGCCTTTGACTACTCTGGAGGACAGGAGGAGAGATCATGAGCTGGGATTCTTGGTTGTGATCTAGAAGTTGCAGCAATCTCCCTCGTAGTCTCAGACTGAAAGATTGTGATTTTGCCTGCGATTCCTTTAGTACTTCTTTGTTTGCTGCCTCTTTGAGATTGTAGCATAGGGATTTGAGATCCCAACCGTGATCTTGTGCATAAGGCATTATCTGATTGCGACCTAATCACTTCTTGGTTGTGTTCTTCTGCATTTGTACATGATCTATGATTGTATCTAGGCTACATCGAAGGTTCAAACAACCTTGTTATGCTCAAAATGGCATGAAAATTCCTAGTATTAGGAAGATACATAACACCTATTTAGGCGTTATCATTACCAACCATTTATTAAAAAAATATTAATTCTTAATTTTTTTCCTTCACTGCATCTAAAAAGCCACATCCTTGCCCACCCCATACCATCTTTGAGGGAGAAAAATTCATAGGCGACAATCAGGTGAAGCCCCCTCCCTCCGACGACTCTCCAATGTCGGCCGATTAGAGCACAATAACGAACCCCTCTAGTTACTTCTCCCTCTGACTAGCTTGATTTGGCTCAATCAAACCCTGTGTAACGGTCAGGGTGGAGAATCAATTTTGGAGAGTGTGTGAGAGAAGACAATGGGTTTGAAGAAGAAATGAGACGAACTGAAGAAGGAAGGAAAGGATTTGTAGAAGAATAGTTTGGTAGAGAACAGGGAAGATGGGGAAACAAGATGAAAAGAGAACAAGGGAGAACAAATAGAGATAAATTGGAAGTTAACCAAATCATTTGATTTGGACATGACCAGGCTTGCATGGGCTGGTGGTGGTGGCACAGCGTTTGGTCCCACCGCTGCCTGCTTCCTCTCTTTGGGGTGAAATTCCTCCAGTGCGCTCTGATTGGCTTCAACTACAACCTGTAGAGTCTGGACTCAATTAAACTTCGTTTGATTTACAGAATCATCCTTAATCTTCTGAAAATTACCCCTTTGGTCCGCCAACTTGATCCAATAGATTATCCAAAGCAGCTTTGATTGTATTTTACCTTGACAACACAAAACAATACAAAAAGGTATAAAAGAATACAAAAACACCATCTATGTATCAAATAAGATCATTGATCAAATAGTTACGAAAATCCTAATAGAATATAAAAACTCTAAAGATGTATCAATTAAAGGGAAAATGTATAAAATATAGGAAGTTGAAGACACTATAATTTGAGCATTATTAAATCTCCTACTATTAGCTATGGAACAATGAGCAACAAACACAATATCTAGTAAGATAATTCAATTGGCGCTTACGAGCATCATCTTCATAGCTAAGATAAAAAAAAACACCATCACATATACATTATCATTCATGAAATTGAAACAAATATAAAATAAATCCAAACAAGGACAAGAAACATAAAATTCCAAAGACCAAACTGCTACAAGACCACCTGAAGACCGTATATGATCCACATTTGCAATCTACGAAACCCAAAGAAAGAACAACACCATCCACATACCCATGAGCATTACAAGTTTCACAAACTAAAATTAAGGACAGATTATGAAAATGAACAAGACCTACAAGGGACAGAACTGTCAAGGTAAGCCCCAAACCTCAACAATTCCATTCCACATTCGTCATTATGCACAACGAAGCCTTTCGATGTTGGCTACCTCTATAGTTTCCAAATTTGGCGATTCATCTTCCTCCATATGTTATCTCTGGTCGCTGATTCCTCACCCTCTATATAGCATCCAAATTCCCAGCAAACTTCAACTTAAGCTGATACCTCGAATGGACCTCCATCTCCTCAAATGTTCTCTTGTTCTCGTCGACCTCAATGCCCTCATCTGTTAACTTCACGTGGAATGATGGACCTGGCCATTAGAAGGCAAAACCATATCCTCATTTTCATCTTCATCAAAAGCTACCTCTATGATGACTCCCTTACCTTTCCCCTTTTCATTGAAATAAGTTTCCTTTGGCCTAAAAGCCTGTATTAACCCAATTTTTATTATATAAAGAGAGAGGAAGAACCACCACTGGCTAAGGAAAGTGAAGGGGTTATGGTCTAACCTGCTGCCTAACATGAGCGCCCAAGTGATTACTAGACCTTGTTGGAATCCTGCAGTCATAGCCAAGATTGCTTGATACATCCACGAATCCACATCCACCTCTGGAGCATGACGTTCAACATTGTGTTGCCTTTGATCTCGACGTTCCCTATTTATGAGGGTTAACCCATGTGAGCGAACCTCTGTCCTTGCCTCTCCTTGGAACCAACAATGTGTACTCATTCAAGAGAATTTCATGTGGCACAACTGATATGAAAGCGTCAAAATTCTCATACCCTAGAAGAGGAGGTGGAAAAGAGCATTCCACGTCTCTATGGCCCAACATGTTGCAATTGAAACGAAAAAAGGTAGATATTCATAATCAAGTCTCGTCTAGAATCCACACAGTTCTCATTCTGGAAAAACATACGTGAACGCATGAGAGCTTCAGCATCAAGAAATGCTCGGACCTTAATGAAAATCTTTGATTGTCCCTACTGATCAGAATAGAGACCAATCTTCCTCCTTCGGACTCCTCCATCCATATTATTGTCAAGTCGCTTCCCTAGATCAATTGTACACAAATGAGGTGTTATTGATGATATTTAAGCCGTGGATGGAACTCTAGAAAGTTCTCTGACCAATTGCGGAGTAATTTGCTGCCATGGCTTCAAATTCAAGACAAAAGCTTTCCCAATTCAAGGTGACTAAAGGCAAACTTGTTCCCTTATTGTTTCGTATGCAACGATAAAACTCTAGACACCACTATCCGCCTCATGTACTATCATCGGATAATTCATGCCCCATAGTCCATTAGTAACATGGTCCATCATCGTTCTTTATAACGACCAGGAAGAGAACAATCTGCTAACTAGAGAGATTTCCACTTGCATGACCCAATGTCGACATCTTTTTCTTCAAAGGAAACCACCTTGTGGATATACCTAGGGTCCATATCGCCCACCAGAGTCTAGACGCTTAATTGGACGTAATGAGATCCAGTTGAAAAAAAAAATTAGAGACTGAGTGAGGATGCAAGAAAGAGAAACAATAACTATCTACAAAATCCAATTGTCTTCTCTCTAGAATAAAAATTCTCTAAATTGAAATCGTTTAAAGTACAGAGTAATAACCCTTGAGCTTTGAATTGCATCTACGTGGGGCGCCCCCACAACTCATTAGGAACCCAAACCCATAGCTGGGATCATGTGCTATGATATTCCAGCAATGTAATGCAAATCCTTATTCTCTGACTTTGATACATATACTAAGTAATAACTAACTAACATAATCTTGTTAACACGAGGAAAAATGAAAAGAGTGAAGGGAGAGTTGAGGAAAAGAAATTAGGTTTTGATTTGGATGGTCACTCAATTGCATTTCTACTATTTAGTTTCTTCAGGTACTCTCACTATCATTGATAGATCACATTTTGATTCATGTATTTTTTTATATGTGAGTAAAAATACTCTTGGTGGGGAGGGTATGGGACTATGGGTATAGGGGGGGGGGGGGGAGGGGGAGGCTTAAACCATACACGCCCCATACTTATCAAACGTTTTGTCGGTTTTACCCATACTCGTTCTATACCCAGTCAAAATGTGCCCCGCTTTAACTAGATCACCGGCGATCGAGTACTCACAATCATGGGTTTGATCGCCATCTCTATTATATAGTCCATAGCCCATGACCGCAAAAGCCCATTGGCCCGACTTCTGTACAAGCGGGGGGCCGAATTACCCTGCTTGCCGTCGGGAACGCGAGGCTCCAGAGTCCAGACACGGGAAAACGAAACCCACAACCGGCAGAAATCTAAACCCCTAAACCCACAAATAGCGTCTCCCTCAGCCTCTCTCCATAGCTTTGCCTCCGCCACTCTTTTGTAGTTTCCACTAGGCGTAGCAAGCTTGTATCTCTCCGACAATGGCTTCGGTGGCCCTGCGAAACCCGAATTCCATTTCCAGGCGCTTACTCCCGGTCTCTTCCCAAATCTACTGGGGCTGCCGGGGATCAGCCATTACGCACTCTTCTGTCATCGATTCTATCAGTGGGAATGACGCGGCTTCGTCTACCACTTCTCCATGGTGGAGATCCATGGCCACTTTCACCAGAACGTAAGTTGGATCGATCTTTCGCCTCTCTAATTTGAACAGAGGCTTTGTATTTTTGCGCTTGCTCTACCCCTTGAAAATATTGGCTTGCTTTTCTGGTAACAGTAAACCTCATGTCAATGTCGGCACAATTGGGCATGTCGATCATGGAAAGACTACTCTAACTGCCGCAATTACCAAGGTTTTGTCTCCTTAGGGTTCATTGTTTTCTTGCTATAAAATAGAACTTCGTACCATGACTAGATCAGTGAAACTTAAAGCAACTTGAACCTACCTGATATCGTGATGATTCTTTGTTTAGGTACTAGCCGAAGAAGGCAAGGCTAAAGCTGTTGCCTTTGACGAAATTGATAAGGCCCCAGAAGAGAAAAAAAGAGGAATTACAATTGCCACGGTATAACTATTCGCTTCATGGTTGTTTCTTCTTGTTCTCTGTCTTTCCCCCTGTTCTTCCGAATCTAACCTTCAGAATTTTGGCTTTCCCCCCTGTTCTTCCGAATCTTGCCCTTATTTGCCGCTGTTTCCCATTTTCTTTGTTCTTTCTAATTGCAGAAAGGTTAAATCTTGATAAACTGTTCTGACTTCTGTTTGGGATGATATTGCAGGCTCACGTGGAGTATGAAACTGCAAAGCGTCACTATGCTCATGTTGACTGCCCTGGACACGCAGATTATGTTAAAGTAAGCCAGTAGCTCGTGATCTTGTACTGGAGTTATAGTATGGATAGTATATAATTTGCTTCACATCAAAGAAAGTCTTGAATCACTGAACTTCAGTTTTCTGACAATGTATCAACACAATCAATATCCTGGAAAAGTGTGCTCTGGACAAGTAGAACTTGCATTTCTTATCTGCATTTCCCCTTTTTATCAGTGGCTCCCTCTCCTGACGTATAACCAATTTAGATAGCTAGAAATAATCCTTTTGTTTCCTTTTGAGACGGGTGAACCAACTTCCCTTGGTTGCAACTCTTCAGAAGACTGATCAGTGGTTTGGGATTGGTTACAATTAATCCACAGAACATGATTACGGGAGCTGCTCAAATGGATGGTGGGATTTTGGTTGTATCTGCTCCTGATGGGCCCATGCCTCAGACCAAGGAACATATTTTGCTTGCTCGCCAGGTGCATGTTCTTTTCTTTTCTTCCCCCATATAGTGTTGGTCTGTGAATTATCTTATTGGTTCGTTTTTGAATTTGTTCCCATTGATCTCTGAATATTCCTTTTTTTATGTATATAAAAGGTTGGTGTGCCGTCACTGGTTTGTTTCCTGAATAAATGTGATGCTGTCGATGATGAAGAACTATTAGAGCTTGTCGAAATGGAGCTCCGTGGTACGTTGCTTATATTTTAAGATGATTCTGTTTCTTCTTGTGTCTTGCCTTCAATTTATTGCTGTCTACAAGTTCATTGATTAGTGATTTTTTTTCCAGAGCTTCTGAGTTTCTACAAGTTTCCTGGGGATGAAATCCCTATCATCAGGGGTTCAGCCTTGTCTGCTTTACAAGGGACTAACGAAGAACTTGGAAAAAAAGCCATTTTAAAATTGATGGATGCTGTGGATGAGTACATTCCTGACCCAGTGCGCCAACTTGACAAGCCATTCCTGATGCCAATTGAAGATGTTTTCTCCATTCAGGTATTGATTGCATCAGTGTGCATGCACACTGACACCTGGCTGCAAGCATTGTTTTCTTGGGACCCTATTATTCTGCAAGGGAATTTTTTTAGTGTGAAAACCTAGGGGTTTATGCAAACAGTTTGTTCTGTTTGGTTGCAAGTGTTTGTATTGGTAGATATGCTATCTATGAATCTGAGTTTCCGTTACTTGCTACCTGCATAAATAACCATACCAAAAATGGAACCACTGATTAGCTAGTTTTTTTAATATTCCTATTAAAGGGGCGTGGAACTGTTGCAACTGGCCGTGTGGAACAAGGGACAATCAAAGTCGGTGAAGAAGTTGAAATTTTGGGACTAACAGCGGTAATTCAATTGTTGATCTTGAATCAAGAATGTCATACAATTACTGGATTACAATGTCCCTCTTTTTTGGCTAGTTGCAGTTACTTGTTTTTCTTTTCATATGCAGGGTGGCGCCCAGAAATCTACTGTGACTGGTGTCGAGATGTTCAAGAAAATTCTGGACCGAGGAGAAGTAAGTCAACAGCTCAAATTCTCTCTCTCTCTCTCTCTCTCACGAACAAGGGATTGGTCTAGTGGTAATACCAGTAGTCATGAACCTGGAGGTCCCTGGTTCGAGTCCCTTTAGTAGTACCTAATAACAAAAAAAGTAACCTATATCACCCTTATCTAAAAAAAAAAAAATCTCTCTCTCTCTCTCTCTCTCTCTTTTTTTTCCTGCTGGGAGTCAATTACTGTTGCTGTGCCGTGATTAAAATTTCTGATTTCCTTGTCTGTTACTTAGGCTGGTGACAATGTGGGTCTTCTCCTGCGTGGTTTGAAACGTGAAGATATACAACGAGGACAGGTTGGTGTCAGTCTGGGAAAGAAAATCTTTTTTTGTTTTTTGTTTTTGAATCCCATAACTCTTCTAATCACCGTATTATACGCTCAAATATCGAGAAGCATAACTACAGATTCAGCCACGAAAGAATCTTGCCTGTTATATATTCATCCAAAAGGAAAGGAAATTTGCGTGTTACTATTTGAAGTATGGCTGAATCACTCGTGTTGTACTTGATGTGTGTTTAGGTTATTGCCAAGCCAGGATCTTTGAAAACATACAAGAAATTCGAGGCAGAGATATATGTCCTTACCAAGGATGAGGGTGGTCGCCATACTGCCTTTTTCTCTAACTACAGGCCCCAGTTTTACATGAGAACTGCTGATATTACTGGTAAGGTGGAATTGCCTGAATCGGTAAAGATGGTCATGCCTGGTGACAACGTCACTGCAAACTTCGAGCTGATTCAACCGGTTCCTCTAGAAGCAGGTCAGTTTATTTATTTTTCTCTTCGTTAAGTATTTAAGTTACTTGCTTGCCACGTTAGATTCAAGATCCTGATAACGTCTCTTGTTGGGTTTTAACAGGACAAAGATTTGCGTTGAGGGAGGGAGGTAGGACAGTTGGAGCAGGCGTTGTCTCGAAAGTAATTAGCTAGAGTTGGTTGGTCCATATAATCTGGGCTTTTGTACCATTGTTTCCCCCATATGCTTAATTTAAATCACGGACGCGGGAGGTTAGGACCATTGATGGTTGGAGCAGGAATGTGCCTCTGTATAAGTCGATTTGGATATAGGGGCTGCATGGAGTTTCCTGTTTTTTCAGGGTTGAATCTAAAGGAGATTTTGGGATCTGATAAGATTTCAACAGAAGGAATGGTTTTTCATTTAGGGTATCCCAGTCCCTCGTGGATTTTGAGTTGTGCAAATAATAATACAAATGTCAATTAGTACCATCCTGCTCTACCTGTGTTTCTAGTTCATCTTTCTGGTTAGCTTGCCAGTTACAGCATTTTCTTCAGTACATTTTCTTGTCTCTTTAGATTGTATGTTTTTCATTGTTCTTAAGCAAAACCATCATTCAACAGGTGCTGAAGAGACTGCCGTTACTGACCAGGCTGAATGTTGTCGACCCACCCACGACGGCAGTAGTCAAGATGCGTGCTACTGGAAGTGGCACAAACACAAAATTCATAACATATGTTTTGTAGAAGGCAATGGCAGTCTGCAGCGGATCCTATTGCTGTGACCAACACGCAAACAAATACCAACACCAACCCAAATACCTCGCCACTTGCCCTTCCCTTGCCCTACAGAATATGTAGCTTGTGATGATAACGTACGCTAGATGCTTAGAAACCAAAATTGCTGCAGATAAAACAAACATGTATTGTATTTGCACGAGCACAAGTTGTCTGGCGCAAGAAATTTCATAGAACACAAACAATGTATAAGCTACAATCATCAGTTCAAAACAACAACAAAAAAAAGGCAGCATCAACAGAAAGCAACTATACCAAAAATGCCAACCGTACGAAGGCTCGACACTACGTTTTATAAGTACATCATTCATGCAACCCTCAGAACAGCAAGAAGAAGAAGCGACATGGCAGCATGGCAGCTCTGAAGTAAATATCCTTAAAGCTCTTGTCCACAGTCATCGTCACTTCTTCATGCTTGAGGCGCTTGATAGAGATAGAGCCATACCAGTCCAAATCCCAACCCTGTGCTGAGCAGCTTCGGTCTAGTTAAGGGTGTGAACGACTATTTGCCGCCAATAAAATTACTATTTTCCACCAATAAAAAAAATTCAAAATTCAAAATTTGAATTTTGTTGTTCGAATCCTATAAATGCATCATAACCAAACTTTTCTAACCACATTCTCAACAAAACTTCCCTTTTCGAACCAAATTCCGTCGCCGACACCATCCCTCTGTTGCCGGCCACCATCTAGTTATCACCAACCAACGAAAACATGTAAGTTTTTTTTCGGCGAATTTTTTCCGTTTCCGGCGAATTTTTGCGGCGGCAAAGGAAAATTCCGACGGAAGCGTGGCCGAACCGAAAGATTCCATCGAGCGAAGGAATCTTGTGGCCCAGCCATGCTTCAACCGTAATTTTCCTTCAGCTCAACGTCGTCACCGTCGTCTGAATTTTTCGGTTGGCGTCGACGAGGCCGGTCTGAAGGATTCCTTCGGCTCGACCTCGCACCGGAATCTTTCGGCCGGCAGAGACTTTTTTTTAATAATTTAACAAATTAATTAAATTATTTTTTAATTATTAGTATTTTATTAGCCGTAAATTAATAAATTAAATTAGTGATTTGATAATTAAATAATTCGTGTTATTATTTATTTACATTAGTTAATAAATAATCTGAATGTGTTTATTGAGTAGTTAATTAAATAATTAGTTATTTAATGTATAATTAATTAAATTAGTTAATGTATAATCAATTAATTAGTAACTGATTTAAAAATTAGTTTTATTATTTATTTAGATTAGTTAATTAATAATTTGAACGTGTTTATTGAGTAATTAATTAATTAATTGAATTAGTTAATTCATAATTATTGAGAGTGTTTTAATGAATAATTAAATGTTTAAAAAACATAGCTAAACGAGAATATTAGTGCACATATGAGTATGATATTGTGTAAATTTGTAGATAATTAGATATGGATGCGGGTGGGAATGAGTCGTCTAGATTCGATATTAAGAATGTTGATGCATCAACACGAAGGGAGGTGCCAAAGAAGAATAAGGAGAAGAAGCACGCTTGACAAATCTCACATCAGTCAGAGCCAGATGTAGGGAGGAGGAGTTAGAGGGTCCTAGTGTTGTTGCTCCTACGACATCACGGGCGACTGGTTCGCATGGGAGGAACCAGGACGCCGCATCGAGGGTGGTTTCAGAGGAGTTTGATGATTGGTACGAGTTAGATGAGGATCCCTCCCTAAGTACCTCCAGTTGGGCGTGGACGTGGGCGAGAGTCGTCTTCTATGGAAACATCACGTCCGACTATGTATAGGGATCGAGGTGGGCGGTTCGTATCACCTCCTTGGGACGAGGCAGAGAGCTCCGGGACTGGACTGAGTAGGGGGAGGACAGTCGAGTGATCCTCGACCATGGGAGCTTGTTGGTGAGTGTCCTGATAGACCTATAGATCATAGCCTCATTAGGAGTTTTCGTGGCCGCGCTGCTTATGCGCTTTGGACGGGGACTGGAGACCGAGGGGTCACCACTTTCTACATTCGTACATGGGTGATTGACTATCTTCAGAGCTACGTGTTTAGGCATGTTGAGTTGGAGGAGCTAGTTCAACAAAAATATCTCCTGCACCTGATCTACTGTATGTTTCTCAAGATATCGATTGAGGAGGCTTTGATCTCAGCTTTTGTGGAGAGGTGGCAGCCATACACAAACACCTTTCATATGCTTTTTGGAGAGATGACGACCCTCCTTCACGACGTTCATGACTTACTGCAGATTCTTGGAGAGGGACGACTGATGAGTAGGAGTCGGGAGCAGTTAGACCATACGGAGGTGGGTTAGTGTCAGCTTCTTGGGATGGACTACGAGCACCTCCAGGGTAGGTGGAGGTCCTTAGTCATGGTGTGAGGGGTAAGTGGTATGACATGGGTGGTTTTCTTGCATAGATGGTGTCCAGATACTTGAATGTGCACGAGACACCTTCCACAGAGGCGCAGGCGTATATCTTGTTGTTGTTGGAGTCCACTTTGTTTGTGGACAAGAGCGGAGACAAGGTTTGGTCGGTGGTGAACCTATTTGTGGAGGACTTGGAGCAGGTATCCGATTACAGTTGGGCGTCAGGGACACTTGCTTGTATAGACAACTTGGTCAGGCTTTTTGAGCTGGTTCTAGGGGATAGTTGGTTGTCTCACACTTCTGCAGTGTTCGATCTATGAGTACTTTCCAAGTTTTAGGCCATCTCACATCGAGCCAGCCGTCGTTGGTGCGGATCAGTATGGAGCCTCAAGATGGATTGGGCAGCCGGCACCAGGTTCTGTGGCTAATCCCAGTGTGAGGTTGGTGTTCTACCGTCAAGCTCTTGACAACTTGACCCCTGATGATGTGTGTTGGATACCTTTCTATCAGCAGCCTCACCAGGTGGTGTGTCACTCTTTGTACACTAAAGCAATCCGGTTTGCTGATATAGGCAAGTTCTACGATCCTGCCCGTTGCCTCCGATAGTTTGGATACCGCCAAATGGTACCGCCTGCCCCTTCACGGCCCTAGCGAGCAAATCGACCATCAACACTTGGAGGATATGTCATTCAAAATCCTGAGAGTCTCGATGCTGCATGGGATGCTCTTCTACCCCATATGGTTCATATTGGCATGTACTCTCAGCCCTGGAGGATGCATCCATATGAGACGACGCCCGACTATCTTGATTTGTTTATCGCCCACTCCCACCGTAGAGTCCTATAGGACGGAGATGCAGATTGACTAGTTGACTCTGCAACACTAAGATTTGCGTCTTCACCATTTATGCAGGATGGTGGCGACCTTTTGTACACTTTTGCACCTGCGGTTCATGGCGCATCGGGGACTGAGGAGGAATGGGTGGAGCATCATCGACGAGCCAACATGATACTGCACGGGGTGCAGGATGTGTGGACCGAGTACTGGTTGTCTCAGGGGCTCCCCCTCCCTGATGTTTAGTACTGACCGTTTAGCTGTATTGATGTTTGGTTGTCATGTTTGACTTTATATTATGTGATATGTACTATTATGGATCGTTCAGTTGCTATGTTTAGTATTATGCCCATGAACCTCAAGTATATTAATTGACTTATGTTTGAGTATTCATGTTTGGATCAGATGTTTGACTACAACATTCAAATACAACAATTAGATTGAAACTAAGATTGTGAACAAAAGAAGTGTAGTGGACACATGTTGGTGCGGTGGCAAAATAAAACATTCAAAATACAAGCCGTACAACAATAAGCAAATAAAGCATGACAACACTATGCATTTTCCCTACCCATACCCCTAGCTCTACGGGGTCTCTATGCCTGGCTCGTTGGCGACCACCAAGACTAGCCCACAAATCTTGTCCAACCTGGAGACTAGTTCCCCACTCCGCCACATTGGGATGTGCTAGTCCCTGCCACTATGGATGTAGAGGGGGTATGGGAAACTGATCTTGGTTGAAGCACAATCAAATGTAGTGGTTGTTCACGTAGTGCAGTGATAAGAACATGGTTGGTGGTTCCGTACCATACTCCGCATCCATAGGCAACATAATGTAGGCATCAAGTTAGACGTTGGGTAGTTCATAGTCTAGATTACGGGCATCGAACGACTGGTATTAGAAGACAATGAATGTGATGTTGTAAATGGTTGTGAATGCGAACAAGTCCTCAGACTCCATCCATTGCCCTAGTGGCGCACGACCCGCCTCAAGCCAATTGATGTGTTGAACTGCACCTGCTATCCCACCACTCATCCCATCCACACACATTGGATACAAGTTGTCATACTTCCAATAATGCCTCTCGATTGCTTGTGCTATCTCCGAACTAATGAGCAGATAGTGACTCTGGTCCCCCATTAGACAATGAGAAAGTGCCCTAAAACCATAATGGTCGTCTGGATCGGGGTTGAAATCGGCTACCAACAAAGGGCGAACAAACTCTAGATAAAGCTACTCCAACAGAGGGTAAGAATATTGCCCAGGGGGCTCTGGGAACCAATGCAGTCAAAAGCACGATTCTACCTAGAAGCGTAAAAGAGGTAAAATCGTATAATTAAAGCGTAAAAGCGTAATTTTTTTACGCATACTGTAAAATAACTAAAAATCTATTAGGTATGATATATACTATGTAAAATATGAGTGCACATAATTTAGATAAATTATTAAATGCTTGTAATTCATGTCTAAAGTAGAGAAACTTATAGCCTCTTAATGAGAAGTTCATA